CATTCTGCTGTTTACAAGAAACACACCTCAACCACAAAGACAGACATCTACTCAGAGTAAAGGGTTGGGAAAAGATTTTTCAAGCAAACAGACCTAAGAAACAAGTGGGTGTGGCCATTTTAATTTCCAGCAAAATTAACTTCAAACTAAAATCAATCCGAAGAGATGGTGACGGACATTTTATACTCATAACAGGACCAATTCATCAGGGGGAAGTCTCAATCCTAAATATCTATGCCCCTAATATAATAGCACCCACTTATGTAAAAGAAAAACTTTCAGAACTCAAGGCAGTCATCAAACCACACACACTAATAGTAGGAGACTTCAACACACCTCTCTCACCAATAGACAGGTCAATAAGACAGAAACCTAACAGAGAAATAAGAGAATTACTAGAGGTAATGAATCAAATGGACTTAACAGACATCTATAGAACATTCCACCCAAATAGGAAAGAATATACCTTCTTCTCTGTAGCTCATGGAACCTTCTCAAAAATTGACCAAATACTCAGTAACAAAGCAAACTTCCACAGATACCAAACATATTAGTAACCACCTGTGTCTTGTCAGATCACCGTGTAATGAAATTAGAATTCAATAACAATTCTAACACCAGAAAGCCTACAAACTCATGGAAGCTGAACAGTCAACTACTGAATCACCCCTGGGTCAAGGAAGAAATAAAGAAAGAAATTAAAATTGTCCTTGAAATCAATGAAAATAAAGACACAACATACTCAAACCTATGGGACGCTATGAAAGCAGTGCTAAGAGTAAAGTTCATAGCACTAAGTGCCCAAATAAAGAAAATGGAGAAAGCACACATTGGAGACTTAACAGCACACCTGCAACCTCTAGAAAAAAAAGAAGCAGATTCACGCAGGAGGAATAGAAGACTGGAAATAATCAGACTGAGGGCTGAAATCAACAAAATAGAAACATAGAAAACAATCCAAAGAATCAATGAAACAAAAAGTTGGTGCCTGGAGAAAATCAAGAAGATTGACAAACCCCTTGCCAAACTAATCAAACGGCAGAGAGAGAACACTAAAATTAATAAAATTAGAAATGAAAAGGGGGACATAACAATAGACACAGAGGAAATTCAGAGAATCATTAGATCTTACTACGAAAGTTTATATGCCACAAAGTAGAAAATTGTACAAGAAATGGACTTGCTTTTAGATAAGTACCATTTGCCAAAGTTAAATCAAGACCAGGTGAACAATCTAAACAGACCTGTTAGTCATGAAGAATTAGAAGCTGTTATCAAAAACCTCCTGACCAAAAAAAAAAGGCCAGGACCAGATGGTTTTAATGCAGAATTCTATCAGAACTTCCAAGAAGAGCTAATACCTATACTTCTTAAGGTATTTCACAATATAGAAACAGAAAAGTCATTGCCAAATTCTTTTTATGAAGCTACAGTTACTCTGATAGCAAAACTGCATAAAGACAAAGCCAGGAAAGAGAATTGCAGGACAATCTCACTCATGAACATCGATGCAAAAATTCTCTAAAAAATCCTGGCAAACTGAATCCAAGAACACATTAGAACAATTATCCATTATGATCATGTAGGCTTCATCCCAGAGATGCAGGGCTTGTTCAACATACACAAATCTATCAATGTAATCCATCATATAAATAAACTGAAAGAAAAAACATATAATCATTTCATTAGATTCTGAAAAAGCATTTGACAAAATTCAGCATCCCTTTATGATAAGGTGTTGAAGAGATTGGGGATACAAGGATCATACCTAAATATAATAAAAGCTATTTACAGCAAGCCGACAGCTAACATCAAACTAAATTGAGAGAAACTCAAAGCCATTCCATTGAAATCAGGAACACGACAAAGCTGTCCACTCTCCCCATATCTCTTCAATATAGTGCTTGAAGTTCTAGCAATAATAATAAGACAACATACGGGGATCAAGGGGATTCGAATTGGAAAGGAAGAAGTTAGACTCTCGTTATTTGCAGATGATGTGTTAGTGTACATAAGCGACCCCAAAAACTCTTCCAAAGAACTTCTATAACTTATAAACACCTTTAGTAATGTGGCAGGGTACAAGATCAAATCCAAAAAAATCAGTTGCCCTCCTATACACAAATGATAAAGAAGTAGAGAGGGAAATCAGAGAAACTTCTCCTTTCACGATAGCCACAAATAGCATAAAATATTTTGGGATAACTCTAACTAAGGAAGTGAAAGACCTATTTGTCAAGAACTTTAAGTCTTTGAAGAAAGAAATTAAAGAGGATACCAGAAAATGGAAAGATCTCCCTTGCTCTTGGATTGGGAGAATCAACATAGTTAAAATGCCAAATCTACCAAAAGCAATCTATAGATTCAATGCAATCCCCATCAATATCCCATCAAACTTTTTCACAGACCTTGAGAGAAAAATAATCAAGTTTATAAAGAAAAACAAAAAACCTAGGATAGCCAAAACAATCTTATACAATAAAGGAACTTCTGCAGTTATAACCATCCCTGACTTCAAGCTCTATTACAGAGCTACAGTATTGAAATCACCTTGGTATTGGCATAAGAACAGAGAATTTGACCTGTGGAATCAAATAGAAGACCCATATATTAACCCACAAACCTATGAACACCTCATATTCGACAAGGGAGCTAAAGGTATGCAATAGAAGAAGGAAAGCATCTTTAACAAATGATGTGGGCATAATTGGATGTCAACCTGTAGAAGAATGAAAGTAGATCCACATCTATTACCATGCACAAAAACTCAAGTCCAAATGGATTAAATCCATCAACATTAATCTGACCACTTTGAACCTGATAAAAGAGAAAGTGGGAAATAGTCTTCAATACATAGGCACAGGAGATCAATTCTTAGGTAGAACCCCTCTAGCACAGACAATAAGAGAATCAATGAATAAATGGCACTTCCTGAAACTGAGAATCTTCTGTAAAGCAAAGAACACTGTCTTTAAGACAAAAAGGTTACCTTCTGACTGGTAGAAGATCTTCACCAACCCCTCATCAGACAAAGGTTTGATCTCCAATATATACAAAGAAACTAGACACTAAAACTCTAATTAACCCAATTAAAAATTGGGGTACTGATCTGAACCGAGAATTCTCAACAGAAGAACTTCGAATGGCCAAAAGACACTTAAGGTCATGCTCAACCTCCTTAGAGATCAGGGAAATGCAAATCAAAACAACTATGAGATACCATTTTACACAGGTCCGATTAGCTAAAGTCAAAAACACCAATGATAGCTTATGCTGGAGAGGATGGGGAGTGAGGGGAACACTCATTCATTGTTGGTGGGAATGCAAACTTGTGCCGCCACTGTGGAAATCAGTGTGGCATTTCTCAGGAAAATGGGAGTCAACCTCCCTCAAGACCCAGCAATTCCACTCTTGGAAATATACCCAAGAGATGCCCTATCATACTACAAAAGCATTTGTTCAACTATGTTTATAGCAGCACTATTTGTAATAGCCAGAACCTGGAAACAACCTAGGTGCCCCTCAATAGAAGAATGGTTAAAAAAGGTGTGGAACATATACACATTAGAGTATTACTCAGCGGTAAAAAACAATGACATCTTGAATTTTGCATGCAAATGGATGGAAATAGTAAACACTTTACTGAGTGAGGTAACCCAGACCCAAAAAGAGGAATATGGTATGTACTCAATCATTAGTGGATTCTAGCCATAGTTAAAGGTCTTTGAGCCTATAATTCGTGATCCTAGAGAAGCTAAATAAGAAGTTGAACCTGAAGAAAATCTAATAGTTATCCTCTTGGATATTGAAGTAGACAAGATTTCCAGGCAAACTTGGGTGCAGGGGGTGTGTGGTGGGGGGGTGGAAGTAAGGGGAGATGGTTAGAGAGAAGGGAGAGGGGGAGGATTGGGGATGGCTTGGGGGAATGGGAGGGGGAGGAAGGATGGCTATGGGACTAGGGATGTATATATCTCAACTAAGGGAGCCATTTTAGGGTTTGCAAGAGTCTTGATTCTGTAGGGGTTCCCAGGTCCAAGGAGAGGTCCCCAGATTGTTCCCTGGGCAGCGGAGAAGAGCGTACCTGAACTGGCCCTGGTCCATAACCATACTGATGAATATTTTGTATATCATCATAGATCCTTTATCAGGCAATGGATGAAGATAGAGACAGAGACACACATTGGAACACTGGACTTAACTCCCTAGGTTCAAATGAGAAGCAGAAGGAGGGAGAATGTGATCAAAAAAGGCAGGACTAGAGGGAACCTTCATCTGACGATAGATGGAGATAGAGACGGAGACCCACATTGGAGCACCGGACTGACCCCCCAAGGTCCAAATGAGGAGCGGAAGGAGAGAGATCATGAAAAAGGAAATCAGAACCGTGTGGGGTGCGTTCACCCAAGGAAACAAGGGGACTAATCGAATGAGAGCTCACCAAGGCCAGCTGGACTGGGACTGAACGAGCATGTGATCAAACCGGAGTCTCTAAATGTGACTGACATGGGGGATGACTGAGAAGCCATTGTCAATGGTACTGGGTCTTGTTTTGTCTCCATGTACTAGCTTTCTGGGATGCTAGTCTGTTTGGATGCTCACCTTCCTAGACCTGGAGGGAGAGGGGAGGAACTTGAACTTCCCACAGGGCAGGAAACCATGACTGCTCTTAGGATTGCAGAGGAAGGAGGGTAGGGAGTTGGGGGGGAGGAGGATAGGGAGTGGGGGAAATGGGAGGGTATGGGGAGGAGTGAAGGATGTGGAAATTTTTATAAACAAATAAATAAATTAATAATAATAAAAAAAGAAAAAAAGAAAAAGAAAAAATTATTTCCTCTTTCTTTGGAATTGGATATCCAGACAGCACCACAGCAATACTGCTGATGTTGAATATTGAGTACCTCTATGACTCACAAAGCAAATCTCAGTTTCCTGGAGGAGAAATTTGAGTCATTGCCTGTGCTTCCTTTTATGCTCTCCGGAACCTCCCCCAATGCAAAGCAGTCCTCAAGCTCAGGATGAAATTCATGGTCAAGCTGAGAGGCCCCATCTTCTTCTGACAAGAGCTTCCAACACAGCATGGCTGTCCTGGTGCTGCTCCTCTGCCTGGTGACATTTCCAAGCTGTAAGTGCATCAGGGATTCAGGAAAGGGACTCAGGTTTTTCATCTATGGGTTAAATGACTGATGATGATGTTGCCTGTCCCTAGGTGCCCTGTCCCAAATACAGCTGAAGGAGTCAGGACCTGGTCTAGTGCAGCCATCAGAGAGTCTGTCGCTCACCTGCACTGTCTCTGGGGTCTCACTAACGAGCAGTGTTGTACACTGGATCCGCCAACCTCCAGGAATGAGTTTGCAGTGGATGGGAGGTATATGGGGTGATGGAAGCACAAGTTATAATTCAGCTCTCCAGTCCCGAATCACCATCACCAGGGACACCTCCAAGAACCAAGTTTTCTTAAAATTGAACAGTCTGCAAACTGAGGACACAGCCATGTATTACTGTGCCATAGACACAGTGAGTGAACTCCAGTGTGAGCCTGCACAAAAACCTACAGATGGAGACATTCACGACCAGCAGGGGGCGATGGAGACCAACAGGGTCTCCCAAGACCAGTATGTTTTTCCTTAATGAGATAAGAAGTTCGAGACAATGCTGCATGAGAATATGTTTTAATATTGGAATCCGTGTTTTACTCTTCCTAACACAAATAAGAAAAAACATTCTCTAGAGGCGTCTCTTCACTCTCATAGTCTAATAAACTTTTTATTTGTTCAAATAATGTAACAAACAGCTTTTCCCAGAAGCCCTGTAAGCTAACAATCTCCTTCTTGTTATTAGATATAATGACATAAAACTTTATATGTTTTACATACACACATATATACATACATATTCACACCTTTTCTTATACATGCAGATATTTTAAAGGAGTGAGCAGTCATCACACTTGGTGGATGTTAGGCTCAGTTATAAGCTAGAGAACTTTAAAAGAGCTGTAATTTGTTCTCTTTGTTTTTGTACCTGTGATAGAGAAACCACAGCTTCCCTAATTTAAAGTCATTTTCTCACAACACACTGCAAACTGAAATACCCATAATTTTCTTCTACACCAAGAAGGTTCCATAAAAGGATTGAATTGATCATTGCTTTTGACAGATCCTATTTCATGCATTTGCATTTTGGTAAAAATTAACTTTCCCATCAGACCAATAAGCAGTGGTTCCTCAGGCTAAACAAATAGTTATTGTTTGGGGGTCTGTCTAACTTTAAAACTGACTTTCTCCTATTATGAAAACAGGATGTGTTCTTATTAACTTTGGTCAACTTCCATATAATCCATTATTTGGGATAATCCTTCCCAACTAACTGGTTAATAGTCTCACTCTACACTGTCCAAACCATGATCAGACTTCTCTAATTTTACTTTTCCTAAGATGAGCTTCTTAGGTTGCATAGGGTAAGTGGTCATCTTGTCCTCTTGATGTCTGGCTCTTACTGATACAAGGCCCTCCATGCTCATGCAGATTGGTTTGATGTTTCCACTGTTGAGAACTGGGCTGCAGCAAACATAAAAGGGAAGGTTGCCACTGCTCATCTGCACATTTGGGAAGCAGCTCAGAGGTTTAGAGAGCATACTGTTCTTTCAGGGAAACAGTTTCAATTTCTGTCATCCACAATAGTTAAGTCATACCTACCTGTAAGCCTGGAGAACCCATGGTCTCTATTTGTCTCAATGGACACTACACTACTCACACAGAAACATACACACGTAATTAAAAACAAAATATTTCATTTTCTAATCCACTCTTGAGAGTTAACCAAATGTGTGTGCTCCATAGTTTATTTGAAGCTTTGATACATATAGAAAATTTCAAAAAGTATTCCTCATGTGGATTAATGAATATTGTTTTTGAAATACCACTACTCCTTGTAAAAGGTTAAAACCTTTATCTCCTAAACTTTTTGTCTCATCCAAAAGATCAGTCTCAGCTTTTTTCTCAAATATAACTCATTTCTATCACTTGTCTGAAATTTGAGTCAAAGAGTAGCACATAGCTCTAATGCCCTCATGGACAGACATTTTCCTGCACGCCATCCTCTCCTTTGGTTCTTTCATCTTGACCAATGCATGTGGGCAGAGTAGGTTGCATAGAACAAGTAACTTTGATCAACATAAAAATGAAAATTAAAGCCAAAAGGATACGTTGCCTGTATCCAATAATTCAAGACCCATTTACTAAAGGAAAGAAAGAAATCACAGTGCTGTGAGGATGGAGAGAAATGGGCCCTGTGCCTTTTAAAAGGGAACATGGTTCTGTTATGTTATTGTAAAGGAGTTTGGGCAAAACACAAAAATTTCATGTAATAGAACACATGCCCACAATTAATTGTGATTTTCGTTATCACATCCCTAAAATTTCACTTAATTGTTTTCAGTATGGCAATTGTCCATAAATAAAAGTGGGCACAGCAGTTATATTGGTTATATTTCTGTAAATTAGTTTATTGATTTAATGTGGCCATATAATAATTTGTGCATTCAAATATCAGCACCCTTCAAAATTTTCATGTGAGTAAAACACCTAAGAAAATATTATACTGTAAGACAGGAAAAAATATTCATTGTTCCCTTGAAGCCCCTTTCATGATTACCTCATATAATTATTTTAGTGAACATGGGTAATTTTTATTTACAACAGTTGTGCTCACTTGATGTGTTCCCTGCATTGCTCAATGGCCACTTGTCTTTGTGACACTTGGACCGACATTGACTGATTTTTTTTCTAATTGAAGCGGACTCTCCTAGTCACTGTGTTCTCCATTCTAGTGGATTAGTTTTCTCCAGGCTCTCACATTCATCCTCTGTCTTCAGGCATTACATAATCTCTCTTATACAATACCTTTTTGTATTTCACAGTATTGAAAATAAGCACAAAGCTTAAATAAATTTAACATATACGTGGGATATAAAAAAAAATTCGTATTACTATTGTCCATCTGCAAGACAACCTCCAACTGCTCCATATGTCTGGGCAACAAAAATAACATCTCTGAATCTCTTTGCTGACACTTATCAATGGGAAATCCTAAAATCCCCATCTACTGTCCACAACCTGGGGCACTCTGACAAGAAGCCCTAGAATTTGTCATAATGCACAGAAACACTTGTATTCAGAATGAATTGCAGGATGTGGACACTGGGTACTTTTGACGACTTTTTTAGAGAAGACCGTGCTGTAAATATTGGGCTGCAATTGGTCAAGGTTAGGCAGTTTTTATGTTTTCCTGATTCTTAGACAGTTTAGAGACTTTCCTGTTTATTCACATGAGACAAAATTATCCAGAAAAATTGAAATATAATGTTTGGATATTCACTGCTAAAATACATTCTGTTTATATTAAACATGTAAGAGATAAAATTTTGTGGTTATAGATTTTGTAACTGTTTCCCCTCACTTTTTTCATCAAGGAAGCTTCTGCATGTTTTAAGTTCAGATGATTTTAATGATTCTTGATTTGTCATCTAAGATATATTTGAAACTGTTAATTTTTGCCATGTTTACTTTAATTTTATCATCTTCTTTTCTTGCATGTATATATAAAATAAAAACTTGTTCTTTAACACCTTCACAGTGACTGCAGCTGTAACTGGTGCTGTTTCAGAAAGTAATAGTGACTCCATGGTTATTAGGCAGCCCACGTCTGAGCCAATCAGTTCCAAGCCCGCCACTTCCACAAAATGTTGTTTGTAACTAAATATCTAATGTTGCATTTACCAGTAAAGACACAAAAGCCAGAAGATGGACTGGCAACTCACTAGCTTGGAGAGTTGAGGAGTTGACATTTGCTCTTCATCATGGTCTCAGAATTGAGAGCATCCTACTACTCCATCAACTCAAAAATGATGGCCACAGTCAAAGTCACCTCCTACATCTTCCTGTGCATCGCTCTATCTGTGAAAATATAACTCAGATCTCAAATCCTGAGTCACCATCAGCAGGGACACCCCAAAGAGACAAGTTTTCTTAAAATGCAACACTCTGCAAACTGAGGACACAGACATGTATTACTGTGACTGACACACAGTGAGGGAAATCCAGTGTGATATGCAGAAAGCCCCTCTGCAGAGAAGGTTGGAAGCAGGAGTGGATGCAAAGGACTAACAGGAGTTCCAAGACCATTGGGGCTCAATTCAGAAGTATTGAAGTTATAGACTATGCTGCATGAACTCTTGCTTTAATTTTAAAATGTGAGGTTTCTTCTTTCAGTCAAAAAATCCAGTTGAGGTCCCTCCCAACTCTTGAATCCCCTTTGATCTCTGAGTTCCACTTTAATTAAAGAACCCCTTATTATACCCTATTTGTAGATAGTGTGGGATTACTTCATTTTGTGCATTCCCCTGCACTTGCCATGTTCCCCTTCAAATTTACATTACTCAGATATTTCAAAAAAATTATTGAGGAATTGTGAGCATATAATAATCTCTTCATAAAAGTACATTGTGAAGAGTTTTCAGGTGAGTAAACACCCATGAAATCACTATACTATAAGATAATAAAGTATTTATTGCTTCTCTAAAGTTTCTGTCAATATCCCCTCATATGATTATATTTGCTAATTTGGGAAATTCACACTGACACTAGTTATCCTTTTTAGATAAGTTTCCATGCATTTTTCCATTAGAAAAATATTTATGGAATTTTTTAATGCTAGCAGACACTCTTGGTCTCTGTGCTTTCTGAACCCATGGATTGTTTTTCTCCAGGCTTCCTGGTCAAAATGCCTGTTTCCAAAGGATGGGAAATCTATGTTAGGTAACATAGTTGCCTCCCACTGTCTTTAAACTGAGGGGATACTCAAAAACTGCTGATGAACTGTGTTTTAACAGATATACAACTGTCTTGGTATGTTTAGTCAATACCGCTCCTACTCCTAACTCAAATTGCCCAGTGCCATGCTCTCTACCTGACAGAAGACCCATGTATGCCTAAGAGAATTCTGTATTGACCTTGAAAATCCTTACTGCTCTCTGGGAACCTCAACAAGCACCATCAACCACCTCAGGTCTGTTGCTTCTTTCACAGACCCCATATGTCAGCATTTGAGCTTTTGCCACACTAACTTTATTATCAAGGTACTTCAATGTAGTTTGAAATAAAGTGTGGATAAACATTCATCACCATTTCTTTTTCTAAATGTTGCCTTGCCAGCCCATTTCTTCCATATTTAGTAGTATCTTCCTTAAGAATTTTCTTTGGGGATTTATTTTTTAAACAACTCAGCCATTCAATAGTTACTATTTTATCTCCATTTTGAGAAATTGTACACCCTAAATATGTACAATGAAATATAATCACATTTATACTCTATTTTTCCTTCTGCTCCCCTCCATATAATCCCCAACATATGCCTTTCGCAACTTATTGACATCTTTAAATCTAGTTAATGCTGCCCATGTGTGCATGGATGTATAGGCAGGCACTGCTGTATAAGAAACCTACCAAAGATCACATTATAAAAAGAAAGTGTCTCAGTTTTCAGGAAAGGATTTATATCCAACAGATCATCAGTAAGAGGGAAGGCCTTGAAATAATGAACACAATGGTTTTGAGTGACTTGGTCTCAGT